ATGCAATACATGCAGCGCGGTGCCGCGCCCGCATATATGCTCGCCCCTTGGCGTGTGGCTGGCGGGTGGGCAAGGGGTGAGCTGTCCGGTGTTTTGCAATCTATGTGGTGCAAGCTACGTGGTGCAGCCCATGTTATGCAATCGATGTGGTGCAGGCTATGTTGTGCAGCCTACATTGTGCAATCTATTTGGTGCACTCTATGTGGTGCAGTAAATGTGGTGCAGTAAATGTGGTGCAATCTATGTTGTGCAATGTGTGTGGCGCAATCTATGTGGTGCGGTTGATTTGAACAAACGAAATGACACATCCCATGCTCTTGCAACCGTCTCATCCACCCACCCGCAGCTTGGTTTGCAAAACCCATGCGGTGGCAGTTGAGATGCATGCTTGGCGTTGGCTGGTCCATCTCCGCGGCCGCGCCATGCCAAGCACGCGTGCGCAACGGCCAGCTAGTTTGGCGTGACCGACGCGGCCGCGGTGGCGCTGACCACTGGGCACATCCCAGCGGGCACTTCAGTGCGAGTCGGCGACTTGGGCGGGTGCGGTATCATGGCGACGTCGATAACGGTAGACACGATGATGATAGTAGCGATGCTGGTGACGATGTTGACAACGACGATGGCGTGGCCAGTGCGGGCGCCGATGCTGATCACACCGACGACGATGACGGCGTGCTCACGTCGGCGATGAAGGTTTTGGAAAAAGTTCGACATGCGCGCGCGGCCGACGCGCGAGAGTGGCCCGCATTGTTTTTTTTGTCACTCATCGTGCCCCCCGAAGACGCGCGCAAGGGCGTGCGAATGATGTCCGCATGCGGTGCGGAAGGCCCGTTTGGCATAATTCCATGGACATGTCGAAAATAAGCCAATTGTTTTTAAGAGTTCGCACGGCGCGAACGCACGCTTGTTTGAAAACTGCTATTGCGAAACCATGTTTTTTTTGTATGCGTTTTGGACACTCGGTTTTGACATCGTTACGGCACCGAACGTTTCTGACAGATTTCGGCAAGCGCGCGACGGCGCGCGCATGCACTTCGGTTGTTTTTTCGCAAACGGTTCTCGCGACGGCACGCGCGCAAGGGCGTTCGAACGATTTAGACATGCGCGCGCGCGAAGTCCGTTTGGTCGCTGGTTTCCCTCAAGGATTCGCAAGAACGCGCGCAAACTTTACTTCAGCATTCGTGTTGCGAAGTCTTTTCTGTGTGTGTGTGTGTGTGTGTTTTGGACACTCGATGTTGCAATTCTTACGAAATCGGAAGCTTTTGACGGATTTCGGCATGCGCACGCGACGACGCGCGCGTGTGCAAGTCCTTCATTTTTTGCAAAGGGTTCTGGAAACCTGATAATTTTTGATAAACGAGTGTGCGCGCATATTATTTGTTGCAGAGGATGGCGGGGGGAGCCGATACTGGTTGGGCTGGGAGATGGTATGAGTTCAGATGTGGGAAGGACAGTGGGGCATACTCGTATGTCAAGTGCAATGCGAAAAAGGGTACCGATAATCCCAGGTCCCAGGGGGGGGGTCGAATCTATTTTTAGGCAGCAGAGTCTATATGATGCGGCGAGGGGCTGCGACGGCGAGCACGGAGCCGCCAGACCGACAGCCAGGCCCAAATCCGTCAGATCAGAAGAGCCCCGACATGCAAACACTGTTTGAGGAACTTAAAAGAACGATCGTGCATAACAATGATGGAACAGACAATACGCGCAGGGGTGCCGTTAAATCCGGCTTCGGCAAGGGGTGTACTCTGATTGTTTTCAAGAAAAAAGGAAATTATGAGACGCACCATAGGCAGTACATTCAGATTCGCAAGAGAGCGTGCCACCCACGGCCAACGGGGGGAAACCATAGATGTAGCCAAAAGGCCACCGGAAAACGCGACACATACAAGGCCCGTGGGGTGGACGCCGTAGGAAACTAGAGGAAGCCAGGCGGCGCCCAGAAAGTGCGGCACACGCACGCCCAACTGGGGGAGAAACCCTGGGAAGCAAAGCAGCCATCATAATATGTGGCGCGCACGCCCAGGGCGCGGGTGGGGAGGGAGCCGCAGGAAGCCAAGCGGCTACCCGAGAGAGTGGCGCACAGGGCCAGTGGGGGGAAAACCACAGCAAGCCAGGCGTCGACCAGAAAGCGCGGCGCACGAGGCCAGCTCCTTGCAGCACAAGCCTGGGCCCACCAAGTGCAGTGCCAGCGCTCTTTGGGGAATTTCTCAGGCCCTCCGAGGGCCTTAGCGAACATGGCCACCGAGCTTTGCCGAAGCCAGATGGATATCACCCTCAGCTTATGCGGCTGGGCGATTCTGCCCTCGCTAGTTGTCTTGGTGGACTAGCAGCGACACTACCCACCACTATAGAAATCCTTGATGTACTAGGCAGGCCGTGATGGACCAACCAGCTCGCCCCGCAAGTTGGAGGCGACCGGGGGGTCTGAACTGGTTGGGCCCCCAGAACATCGATCAGAATGGGGGGGTGAAGCCAACTCCGCTCAAAATCGGTCCCCTGACCACTCCCGGGGTTGGTGCAATTTTTCGCCCCAGATCCGTTTTTCATTGGGGCCCGAAAGCGGCTCTGGAGGTGGAAAAAGGCAAAAACCTTGTCCAAATCCAGAACCTCGAACCTGCCCGTTCTACTGCTGGCCGGAACCAGTGCTGGGCCACCTCAGACCCCCAGACGGCTCCAACGCCCCGCAAGATCTTAGATTTTTACTCTTGTAGACCTACACGAAACATGATCAAGAAAATTATCACTTAAGAAACCTGGGCCAGCTTTCCGAAGTTTGTTCCAACAAACCTGGGCCACCTTCGGTTGTCCACGCTGCAGGGACGAATATGCTGAAGAAACTTGGCAAGCTTTCCAGCACGTTGGATAAGAAACGCTGGCCCACCTTTTCTGGGGAAGTACCTTCATCAGGGAGACATCTGCTTGAGCAGCGATGAGTGCGAGGTAATTGTATGCGCCGCTCGCTCTCAAGGCGACGCCGTTGTACATTACAGTGGCTCCAAGCTCCCAGGGCCACGATCCCTGGTAAACGACTGGGTCTCCTCGTTCCCAAGGCCGCGACCCCTTGTACGCTGCAAAGGACCCTCGCTCTCAGAGAGATGATTCCTTGCAAGTTGCGCTCGGCCCGCGCTCGCAGGCGGACGATCGCCTGCAAGTTCGGGTGGGCCTGTGCTCCAAGGGACAACACCGCTGGCTTTTCGGTAGAGAAGCCCGCGCTCCCAGGGCCGCTCCCCTGTGTAAGCTGCGCTGGACCCGCTCTCCTTGGCGCTCCGAAGGCTACGATACCTCATCCGCCGACCCTCGCTACAGTCAACCCGACCTTCGCGACAGTCGCCAGAGGCAAGGACGCAAGGGTACCCCGTGGGAACGTTGCCCATCCTTCCTGTGGGTTGACTGTAGCCGGGGGAGAGCAGGCGTGTGAGAAATGTGAATGTCTCCCCTCCCCCATTCCTCCTCTCCGGCCCCCGTTCCTCCTTCTCCGGCCCCATTCTTCGTCGGCCCCAATGCCGTTGCCCCTTGTCCCTACTGTTGACCCTCACCATGCCAGGTCCCTCCTGCAGGGGCCCCTCTCGGCGACTACAACGGGTGTGGCCACGCCGGGGTGTGGTTTGCGCTTGGCGCCATTGGGGCTCAGGGCGTCACCACGCTGCGCCCCGAGGAGGGAGGAGGGAGGGAGGAGGGAGGGAGGAAAGGAGGAGGAGGAGGAGGAGGAGGAGGAGGAGGAGGAGGAGGAGGAGGAGGAGGAGGTCTCTGTCGAGGTCCTCGCCCGCCGCCTCCTCTCCCCGAGTCCAGGCTGCAGCTCGGGGGCTGGACGGAGGGGGGGGAAGCCAGGCACTCGCCGGCGGATTCCTGCCGGGCCCCTCTCGGAGCCGCCCGCGGCCTCCGAGCTGCCCACGATGCCTTCGGGGATGGCTCAAGACGGGCCCCGCACGCTGGACAGTCCTCGAGAACACGCAGGACGGCCTCAACACGGCTCACGAGGATCCGGGGATGCCCTGAGAGAACCCCGCAGAGGGCCTCAAGAGACAATGCATCGCGCGTTTCCCAGAAATCTTGAACTCTTTCGGGGATCTCCTGACCGGGGCCACTCCAGACCCGGGTCCACCGGGCCTTGATGGATCTCTGGAGGATCCTGCACCCAAGCCCGGGTCAGTGCGCCCCTGGCTCTGCAGGACCTCGCAAGGCCTGGCGCTCTGGCTGACCCCCGTTTGCATTGACCCCGTCTCTCAAAGCTCCCGACATTTTCGCGCTCTCGCTCTTCCAGACTGGTGCAGGCCCTGAGCGGCCCGCGCGGCCCCCCAGTTCGCCCCCATGACGGCCCGAGAGGCCCCCAAGAGGGCCGGGAGGCGGCCCACGGGGGCCCCAAGGCAGCCCACGGGGCGGAATGCGCAGGGGCCCCAGGGGCCCTCCCCCGCAGGATGGGCCCCCAAGACCCCCAGCGTGGCCCCAAGAGGCTGCCCGAGGGCGACCCCTGAAGCCGCCAGGAGGCGGCGAAGAGGCTCCCCTAAAAGACGGGTGTGGAGGAGGAGGGGAGGCACACGGGCAACAGCTGCACGCAGGCAGCACGACGGGAAGCGGCAACCCAACAGATACGGCGGCGAGCGCCGCAAGCAGCCTCCTCTCGGGGTCGGCAGGACGGCGCAAGCCTCTCTCGAGTACATTGCTGATCCCTCGTGCGTTATGCTGAGCCCGCGCTCCCAAGCGTCCCCAAGGCCACGATCCTCTGTACGTACACAGCGAAGGATCCAGGCTCCCACGGCTAAGACCGACAAGACATTACGCTGGATCTGCGCTCCCAAGCCATCCCAATGCCACGATCGCTACTGTATATTGCTAAGGATCCGCGTCCCCACGGCCACGACACACAATGAAGTACTATACGTTTACGATCCTACGGCCACCATCTCTGGTGAAATACAACATATCCTCGCTCTCAATACCACGATCCTTTCAAATTAAAACGGCTCCACTCTCCCACGGCCACGATCCGTGATAAATTACACTGGATCCGCAAGGTCACGATCCTTGCAAATTGGCATTGCTCCACGCTCCCAGGGCGAGACTCCAATGCAACATTGGCCGACATGACTACACGTGCCTTCAGCGTGACCTCGGAGCCCGCACGAGTGCCAAACATGGCTCTCAGCGCGCCGCGAGGGGCTCCAGGAGTTCCCATTAAGACTCCACAAGGAGCAGCAAGAAGGCCCAGGCATTGACCAGCGAGGGCCAAACACAGACTCAATGGAGCCCCACGGGTCAAAGAGGGCTCGCCGAGAGAGGGGAGGCCTCTTGGGCGCCCAAGAGAGGAGGAGCAGAAGGGTGACAATTACCGGAATGGCGACGAGGGATCCCTCGATGCCAGGGGCACGGGGGTCGGCGGCAGTGACCGAAAGGAGTTCGGCATGATTCATCGCGCGCAGGCAAATTCGGCATCCAAGTGAAGAGAGCGACGGCGATCCATGGCAAATGGAAACATGGTGGCTCTGTATTTTCGAAGCTGGCGACTATAATGTTCACACTTCGCAGTCGGGCGCCCGGATATATTATCTGACAGAGCCGCCCATCGATATTCCTTGCATCGCATATCCGCACAACTTGGCTGGTACGACTTAATCGGCGCGGATGCGGTTGAAGATCAAAAGGTCGCTAGAACCTCGAACGGAATCGCGACATGGCGAAACATTTGCAAACAACGTGATACCAAACAACTACAAGATATTTATCACGCAAGCTGCTCTCAATGAGCTTAACAATCAATCGTTGCAATGTGACGGTGGCAGATGCAAGGTATCAAAGCTCACCGCGGTCTGAATCTTCGCGACTCGCAGCCTCCGTCATCTTCTTGACCATCCCCATCATGCTGTCCAATCTCATCGGGCACTGGCCATTCTCTTTGCAGAACTCGTTCATGTCTTCCCCGAGAGAAACAGCATCGATCATATCACCGACATTCTCCCGTACCACCCTCTTGCAAATCATCTCTGCGTCCTTCTTGTACCCCTTCATGGCCTTTGCAATTCGAGGTGCGATTCCGTCACACAATTCTTCCAGCACGCTCGTCATATCCTCTTCTCCAAACCGTTCTTCGAAAACCCTCTGCTTGTTGAGGTTGAACTGCTTCTGAACCGATCCAGCCACGATTTGACAAAATGCACAAGCTATCGCATTGCCCTTTTTGACGGCCTCTTCCGCATCTTCCTCCTTGTACACTTTCTCAGCCCATGCCTGGTATGCTGGGTCCGTTTTTCCAGAAACAACAAGTCTTGCCAATACAAACAATAACGTGCCAGCTAACAAGGGTCGTGAGCACATCCAAAAGACGGGGCAGAACAATGATCGTATACCTGACTGCAGCCTGAGTGGCAATGACAATACGACAGCAGCGCTGCTTGAGACATGATCGGATGCAATGCGCGAGCTCCCACTTCTCCAAAGGCACGCGCATCTCGGCGACACGAGAAAGCGTGCTTGAGTGCACGCGCACGCGTGTGTGTGTGTGTGTGTGTATGTGTGTCTCAGAATGTGTGCGTGTGCGTGTGCGTGTGTGCGTGTGTGCGCGTGTGCGCGCGCGCGTGTGTGTGTGTGTGTGTGTGTGTGTGCGTCTGAGTGTGTGTGTGTGTGGTTGCCCTTCTACTTATCTAATCCCTCGTGATACTCAACCAATTTGCACGTGCTCCTGCACCTCTGTCCCTGGTGCTCGCCCGACCTGCCCCCCACCTGGGGATCCCACGGCTTCGGCTCCAGCGCGCTCGACATACGCTCGAATGCAATTTGGCCTGCTTGCCCCGCTCGCTACGCCCGCGGCTGTGATCCACATCGCTGTGATCCACATCCGCCCGCGGACGACTGTTTCATTTTTGTTCGGTGTTGCCACTCGCGCGAGCGGATCTCCTCTGCCGCGCCGCGACGGAAAGAGTGTCCTTTCCCTTCTTCTCTTCGGCTACTGGGCTCTCGCGCAGTTCTCCAAGCGAGGGGCCGGACGCTGAGGCGGTGCCCCCGCCCGCGACGACCGAAAACTCTCTCTCTCTCTGTGTGTGTGTGGGTGTGTGTGCGTGTGTGTGTGTGTGTGCGTGTGTGTGTGTGTGTGTGTGTGTGTGTGTGTGTGTGTGTGTGCGGTTCTTTCCACTGCTGCGCGCGACGCTCAAGATGCCGGCCGCTGCGCAGCCCCTGACGCACCCGCCCGCGCCAGGCGCCCGGCGCCCGACCTCGACGAGAGGGCCGCGCCGCGCCTTCCCACCGCGCCGCCCGTCGCCCTCCTCGCGCTCGGGGCTGGATGGAGGTACGGTCAGCCCGTAGAATGAAGACGCACGAGAAGTTTTTTTTTTTTTTTTTTTTTTTTTTTTTTTTTTTTTTTTTTTTTTTTTTTTTTTTTTTTTTTTTTTTTTTTTTTTTTTTTTTTTTTTTTTTTAAATATATTTTTTGTTGAGAAGGATGCAAGGGCCTAGGAAGGCCCTTTCGGAGCTCTGCGAGCGGGGCGCGGCCCACGAAGGCGGCCAAGGA